ACAGTGCTCTGCCAATCCAACCAGGCATTACATGGCAACTTTTGTAGGTGGGAATCATGACAGCAAGATGAAGTGATTGCCCCAGACGCTACAAGAGCGGTAAGACATAAAGGATCACAAAAGAATGGAGGAAACATGATAAACCTGGGACCTGGATGAGTCCCGGATAAAACTGACTTGCAGTCCAATTCCAAACTGGCAATTGCACAGCCCTGTTTTGAGCCTGCAGCTGGAAGTTTACCTTGCAAAGCACTTCATTTGCTCCTTACTCCCTTTTCTGTCTTGATGATAAAATCCTTCACACGTTTGGAAATCCTGTTTCTTACTAATTTTCTGTAGCAAATTAGCCAACCTACAGCTCTCTTGAGCCATAAAGAATTCACAGATCAATACTCTAGCAAAGTTTTTTGAGTTACATGAACGCGTTTTCTTTTTTGAGAAGCACAGTAAGAGAGCTTGGGTGCATGTACAGAAGACACACACAATGAGCAAGAATTTGCACTGCCCTGTTTTGAAGCTGGATATGGTCTCTAAACACTCATTTATGCTGATGAAAGGCATTTCCAGCAGTAACACTGGGATGGTCTGAACTTTGAGATGCCAAATTTAACATGAAGCCAATAAATATAATAAAGAAACAGAAAACCTATAATAAAGAAGTTATAAAGGCTATTCCAGTATTTCTGATTGCCCAGATACATGGGAAAATGTGAAAAAATAAGAATATGCAGCATCCCACACTTAAAACCAAAGCCCAAAGAGGCAAGAAAATATTAGGGAAATAAAAATTGATACCCTGTGAATGATCACAGATGGCTTTTGCATGTCCCTGTTCACCAGCTGTTTCTATTACTCTTTTGTGCAAAGGCATTGGAGGAAAACAGATTATGATTTAATGGAAAGAGTATTGGGCTGAAACAAAGGCACAAATCTGAGATATTTTCCTCCATGGAGAGAGATCCTTTTATCCCACCAGAAGGCAGTCCTGCCCAGCGATTACCTCAGTAGAGATTCTGAGTTTAAGGCTCCTGGACAGAGCCATACATGGATAAGAGACAAGGCCAGCTGCTCTCATACCCAGCAATACTCACTCTTGATCCAAAAGGGACTGTCCTTTCATGGCCTCACCGGGCTCAATGGGTTTTGTGATATCGGTAACAAGAACACATGGGCAGCTATTCTGGTTCAGATCAAAGCCCCAAACCATCCAGTGTTCTGTCTCCATCAGCAGCCACACCTAGACATGCAGGAGCAGAACAGCAGGCCAAGCATACAGATCACTTCCTCCTAACACTACTTCACTCTCTCACCACTTTCAGGTCAGAGGTTTCCTGAGCCTGCTGGGGTTTCTCTGTTTAGCAATCCTCATGAAGGTTTCCCTTCCAGGGAGTTGTCCAGCTCCCTGTGAGTAAGAAGTACTCAGGGGAAGATGAGCATCTGCAAGTTCCTTGCATTCAGAACCTGCTTCAGCGAGGAGTTCCACAGGTCTTACATTACATGAAGACACACATTCCAGTATTTTTTTGGTACATGGCTTCCACTACTTTCATATGATGGCCTCTAGTTCTTCCATTGGGAAGAAAAAATGAACAATCAATCCCTATCTACTTGTTCTATGCCAGTCATGAGTCTGTAGACCTGGTATTGTCTCAGCAGTTATACCACAGAGGATTTAATGTCCTGAAATGTTAAGGGAGAAGGTTAATACGTTGCACTAAATCTGGCCAGCTACTCAGTGGATTTTAGAAGTGTTACACTAGCTTTTGGGATAGATTTCATTTATTTGCACACTTATTCAGGTAAGGGAGGGAAGCTATTTTCCTGTTTCAGAGTATGCCAGAAGAAATAAGCACAGCCAGTCTTAGGAACTAAAAATGGTAGTGAATAGAGGGATATCCACGGGGAAGGGAGATTATAAGGTGCTCAAGTGTGACACAGAAACACATCTGCCTAAATCAGGTACATTATCAGGCTCGCGTACACACACACACACACACACACACACAGATGCATGGGCAACATGACATCTACAAACACTGTTGTGAGCTGGAGGAAATGAGAAAGAGGAAAGTGTGTTCTGAAACCCAGGCAAGCCGGCTTAGTGGGCTGGCATGCTGCATACCAGATCAAAGAGGGGCAGGAGAGAGAACGACTATCCGTGCCATATGCTTATGCTGTTCTGCTTTATACTGTGTTCCTTGGGCCTTCCCCTTCTGCAGGCCTCGCTTTACATGCATGCACCTTTCACAGGCGGGTTTCATCATCCCGCCTGTAATGGCATCCCAACTTAAAGGCAGGGGAGACAACCACACAGAGGATATGTCTGTGCACAATGAGCTGCAAACATCTCCACTGCTGGGCCAGTGCTGCTGGGCAGAGCCAGCAGTAACCTCAGAGCCATGGAGAAGGAGAGTCAAAGTGAACTGTGAGCTCGTTCTGTTGCAGCAGTGGATTGCCTACAGAGTATCCTCAAACCATGAACCTGAACAGGAGTCCAACCACCACAATTCCTGTGAGGTGTTCAGGGCTGGGAATATGGGAGAAGAGAAACAGAGAAGACTTTGCCTCGTTTCTAGTGAGAAATGCCGATTAATTTCATGGCAATTTCTAGGAAGCTCCTGCACACATCTTCCCAACCACAGCCAGCCAGCTAAGCAAGGTGCTGAATGTGAACTCTTGCTCTGCTTTTATCCCTTTATTTCCCCTCACTTTCTCACTGGCTGAGGATGTGAACCACAGGGCTTCCCTACTTTGATGCATAGGTTGTCTCTTCTTGATAACAGTCCTTTTTTTCCCCCTTCCTTTTCTCTTTTCCTTGTAATGTGCTCCAACCTAAATTTTTCAGGTTGAATACTCCCCGTTTTTCCTTTCTTGAAGTACTCCCAATTACTACTTTTCAAGAGCCTGGCATATTTCTGATCAGGTCAGGTGATACAGGGTAGTTTGGCACCCTTTCTCTCATGAGCTGTGTTGCCTGGATAACTCCCTGGTTGAGGGAATTCTCATTTCTAATTTCCAAGAGACCATTCATTTTGGTTTTGCTCCACATGGAGTTACCCATTCCACTCTGGTGCTAAAGATCAGGCTGGGTTTTCCCCATCAGAACAACATGCTCTCAGGTAGCTTTAGGCAGTAGAAAGAGATTCTGTGTCTATAACATGATTTCTCTATTCCAGAACCAGAGCAAAACTGTAAGTCACACATTTCTCACAGCACAGTTTGCCCTAAACATCTCCCTGAGCCTTAGTCAGATGAATGGTTTTTGTTCCTGCTATAATATGACTTTCTTAGGGAGATATCCTGCTTCACATGCAAGTGTGCCACAGGGTTCAAGTCTTTCTGGAGAGTTTCAGTAGCTAGCACATACTAGGGTGAAGAAGTTAAGAGAGATTACCATGTTATTTACTTTGTTAACAGGTTTTTCCTCACCAGAAACTAAGGGCACACTTCTTTCTCTAAGAAACAAGGAATGCCTGAACATTGTTCACACAGCAGGGGTAGTATGTATTAGACTTAAAGGATGCTTTTCTATCTAATTCCCCTCACTCCCACTTTGCCCCAGCATTTCCCAAGAGGAAAGGCTGGCTGAAAATTCTCACTGCTTCCTTGATTTGATTTAATTCCAAAGTCCAGACAGCAAAAACCTGAATCAACCATAGTTCTAGTATCCTCACCTTTCCCGTTTCCTTATAGAATAACCCATGTGCTGGGCACCCTTGCAATCCAGCATGCAGAAGGTCAGGCACTGCTGGAGAGCAAAAGCAAAGTGGAAACCAGTTCCTGAACTGAGCATACTTCTCTGTCGTGTAGTAAGCATACACTTTTCTAGACGGAGTTATTTTATCTTCAGCTGTTAAAGCCACACTGTTAGACCAAGGATGTAACCTGTATGTGCAATGAGCCAAGGACATCTGGGATTTAACTGCAGGACGCAATTTCAACTTCGCTCTTTTTTCTTGTCTTGGTCACACAAAGGTCAAGCATAGAATTTGGCTCTTATGAATACTGTTTAGTTACTACCTTTTCGTTATCATACAATGGGAAAATTCTTCCCACTGCTGCCTTTTTGTTTTCTTCCTGCAGCCTCTGCTCTCTGCCTTGCTCCTAGTTCTTCCCTGTATCTGTACATTCTTTCTGCTTCTCCCCGTTTTCCCTTTCTTGAAGCACTCCCAATAGCTAAGCTTCCTTAAGCTTCCAATTTCCAAAGTAGAAGTTTCCTTCTACTTTGTTCTGTCCTTTTAAAGGACAGAAAAGTTAACATTGATAATTTTTGGTGTGTGTCACCACTGGTGTTCAGAGTGAACATTTGATATGCAATGGTGTGACGAGGCCAGTTTCTGTATCATCAGTTCAAGCTGCCTGCAGATTCAGATTGATGTCATTGCATAGGGTCACATGTGTAAGGCTTTCTTTACCACCATGAAGAATTGAAATTTACTTCAAGAATACCTAAAATATAGCTTCTGCAGAACCTTAGTATCTGATTTGTGCCACTACAGTATTGGGCCAAGAATTTGATCACAGTACTGGAAGCTATTAGCCACTTTCTGACCATCTGAAAATGCTGCTGTTAATGGCTAAGTTAAAAGTAGCTCTCAACTTTGTTTTGGAACTCTCTGAAGTTGGAGGTTTCTAAAGCATGCCTGAAGGATTAGAAAATCAGGTATCTTCTAGAGCATGTCCCTATTCTGGGAGATTTTGGAGCTGGAGAAAATCTGGAAGATCTATTGATGATGCAGCTTTTGATGGAGAAGAGGGCAAATGGCTCTTTGGGCGGGAGGAGGGCAGAAGCTGTTCAACTGGGGAATGCGCTGGGAGCACTGGAGTGGGAATGAGAGAGGGAGGAGTAGGGTGGGTGCAGGGGGTTGCTGCTCTGTCTGAATGGAGCTCGTTTCTTGCTGTAATCAGAGGGATGGCCTCCCTCAGCCTCCTGGTACTGAGAGGCTCTTCACCTTCCTGTCCCTGCTGAAGCAAGGTGCTCAACAGTAGAAACTACTTACCTGATAACTGCTGCACTGAAGGCTGGTCATGTGTGCTTAACAACTGTGCCTGAATGGTTTCTACTACCCTCTTAAAACGACGGCTTGGACCTGTGAGGAGAGAAGAGGCACATATGGCTGTGAGAGCCGCGGGAGACGAATCCTCATACAACCCAGGCTGGAGGGGAAGGATCACAAGCATCTTCCCTTCAGTCTTGTCCCCAAGAGCGTACTGGCAGTGTATCTGTCCTTCAGCTGAAGGCATGGCTTTGGGGAACTGTTATGCAGTCCCCATGTTTAATGGGACCGTGGTGTGCTGGAGTTAACAGGAGGAAGGATGGTGCCTGGGTTCCTTTTGTAAAGACAGAAAAGGTGGGAAAGCGAGGGGGGGGTGTTTGGTTCTTTGTTTCAATCTCTGTACGGGGTGTGTGGCCACCCAGAAAAAAAGGGTGATTGCATGTTTGCGTCAGAAGGAAGAAACCAGTGGCCTCACAGTGGCTGGCTGAGACACTGAAACATTTGATTGAACCAAGGAGAGAGCACAGGGAGATACTCCAAGTCTGATGCACGGAGCAGCCATTTTCGCACTAATGGTGGTGGCAATTTCACCTCTTTGGAAAGCTCCTTCCCTCCCAGCATTGCCATCACTACCAACACCATTTTCGTTCCTGATGTCCTCCTTGCCCCTGTCTGAATTTTCCCCTGAGGTCAAGACAGTTATATTCTTTCCCCTGGCAGAGTTCTCTTTGCAGGCCTCTATATCGGCAAGGACAAAGCCAGCTTGCAAACGTTTTTTACAGCTTTGCCATGGTTACCTGATAAGAGTGTGAAAGTGACAGAATAGATCCCGTTCTCCTTCTGCGCCTCTCCCCCTTCTGTGTATGTTATGTCCACCTGGAACTTCACTGGCTTCTGGAAGACAGCAGGACCTCCTGTGGACTTATATTCTGCACGGAAACTTGTCTGTGAGATGACACTGTGACTGAGGCTTGGAATCTGAAACAGGTCGGTAGAAGGAAACAGTAGAACCAGAGTACAAAGGGAACAGAATTGCAAAACTAGATTTAGGGCAACACACATTTCCAGAGTGGATAAGATTTCCTGGATTTGCTGCTGGACTTTAATTTGTAATGTTCAGAGAGTTCTTGTGAAATCAGTAAGAGTGTAGGTTGCTTGGCACCCCAGAAGAATGCACTGCTCCTTGCAGGACTGACCTAAATTGAAAGGCTGAATATTGGTGGAATACCCAGCACGCTCATAAATTTACACATGTTGCACAACTTCATACACTCAGTCTTTCTTTTCCTACTCATCTGCCGGTTTTGAGAAATGCCTTTTGCTGACTGAAAACTGGTATTAAGAAAGGGGGCAGAAAAGTCAGTGGGATACAAAAAAACACCTGAGTAGCCTGGTCTCATCTCATAGCAGATCCTGTTTTAAGCAGGAGACCTCCTGAAGTCCTTTCCAACCTGAATTGTTCAGTGATTCTATGGTATCAAACAGACACCAGGACACGGAGCAGACACTTAACACATGTGGCTGGGATATCCACAGGCAAAGCATGGCTGCAAATAACTTACCCAAACCACAACTCCTACCTATATGTAAAAGAACTGTGAGAAGCTTTCTTGTATCATCCAATATCTGTATCTTCAGACCTGTGGTACAATTTCACAACTGTCTAATTTTCAAGCAGTTATCATTCACAGTTCCTGCCAAAATTTAACACACTCACATACGATTTACTGCTTCATAAAGCACCAGCTTTAAAAAAAAAAACCAACAAACCCAAATCACTTGGAAATCTGGCCTCTAATCTATGAGGAAAAATGAAGATGAGTTGAGAAGCTGACTTTAAGGACTTACTTAGCAGGCTGTGACAATGCATTTAATTTTGTCACTAAGAGACGATTCATAGGGTTTGCACACAAATCACTACATCAGACCTCAACCCACCCATATGGGGTATGCACAGGATCACCGATGTAGACAGCAGTGCACACTAAGCCACAATATAACCCCAGAAGCACAGCTAAAAGCATGAAACTGGTACAGTAACATGGCTGCTTCAAACCAGTCTGAGACAGATACCACTGTCTGATGCCTGCTACTATATTGCACTTGCTCCTTGTATGCCTGTACAGTTAAAAGGATTGTGGCTGTGTTTTTTGGAAGAAATTCATTGCAGCATCATAGACCTTAAAAGGGAGAGAAGTATTTTGTGGAAAACAATGCCAATTCAACAAACAATATAAGAAATTAAGTCGTCTTCTCTTAATTCTATTGAGAAAAGTCTAATTATATTGTCAGCTACCTTGAATTGAAAAATCTCTCAAATTAACTTTACTGTGCTGACTTTTTCTTCATTGCTACTTCTAGATAGTGAGAATAAGGACTTCCTATAGGAAAGAAATGACAATTTCCCTCTCCTTTCCTAGATTGTAAATAAACCACATCTGCAACAACTGATACTCTGGTCACCAGAGGAAATTACCCTCAGCATTGGAGAGGAGATTTAAAGAAAGAAATGCAAACGTGGGGCAGGATTTTTGCCTGACTAAATCGGCGGGGGGCACATCCAGCAGAGGCAGACTCAACCTGATGCCCAGGAGGTGGCTGTAAGGTTAGTTTGACAAAACAGCAAATCATTGTCTCGATATTGCACCAACAGTGTGCTCTAACTGCAGTGATATTCCAAGCACTGACAGCCTGGAGACTCTGACAAGAAGGCTGAAATCTTTTCTCACCTTAGAAAGCATCATCTGCAGTTAGAAATTCAGAGTCCAGTGGAGGCCTCAATCAACAGGCCACGTAAATTAAACTCACAGAGGATGCATTTGAAGGAGCAGAGACCCTGCCCAGTAACATATGGCACAAGGAGTCCTGGAACTGACCAGTGAGCAATGCCTCCAAGGGGCAGCTGGGGTGACTTACCGAGAGGAAAGCGTGGACAATATCAGCCTTAATGGAGCTTAGTGGTTTGTCCTTAATGACCACAAAAATCTGTTCTTCTTTCTCCAAGTTGATGAAGTTACCAAACCAGGATTTTTTGGCAAGCCTTAAGTGATGAAAAGAAAGAGATGGTTTAGAATATTGAGCACAATTTCTTATGTATCTCAGGTAGAAAAATACTGAAAAACACACAAGGAAGTTTTGCTAACACTCCAGGTGTGATACTATTACTAAGTGGAAAACAGTGTCAGAGAACATCCAGAAAAACAAATGATGGACCACACAGTGTTAGTCTGGTATCATGTATCACCAACAATGAAAAATCAAGAGCAATGCTAACTCTTTTGACCGAGCCAATATACCAATTAATACTGCAGATATTAAGTGCATATAAGTCAGGGGACACACTTCTGGTTTGTCTCCAGGGATCTCTCCATCTCTTGTGACATCCATGCTAGTAACACAGGCATTTAAGTTCCTTCCCAGCCAATTTCAACCCCTTGGAAAGTTCCTTTTCTGAAGGTGTCCTGTTGGGCTGAGAGTACAGTCACAGGATCTTGCTTTTTAAAGCAAGCTGTAGGTTTCACTGAACCTCCAATCTGTCAGCAAGTGAAATCCACTCCTACACAGAGGGCCAGGACAAAGACTGTCCCATTCAGGGTGTCTATATAGTGAGTGAACTCTGGCCATCCTGCAAAGGAAAGAATTTTCAGTACTAAGAGAGAAAATATCAACACCGTGCAAAACGCAGTTCAAGCTTTCCATTGACAGCAGTCCGACTTCGCAGTTCCTTCCAGCATCAGATGGTGGTTTCATCATAAACTAAAGTTGCTCTGTTTTTTCACAGATCGTACCAGCAAATGTTTGATTTTGCTTATTGTTTCACCATCTCAATGCACTTTGTTGACGTCTCCTTTTAAGTTAAATACACTAACAGAAAAATGCAGGGACATGAATGTTATTGGGGGACAGTACTCAGAACTTGAAGGTAGCACCTCTGACAGGTGTGGTTTTGAGGGGAGGGAAGACGCTGTCAGCCATGAGGTACAGCCAAAGAATTGCTGGACCAGCCTAAACCCAGGGAAAATTCCACTGAAATCAGCCATAGAATCACAGAACCATTTTGGCTGGAAAAGACCTTTAAGATCATCAGGTCCAACCATTACCCTAATACTACCAAGCCCAACACTAAACCGTGTCCCTAAGCACCGCATCTGTATGTGTTTTGAACACCTCCAGGGATGGTGACTCCACCGCCTCCCTGGGCAGCCTGTTCCAATGTCTGACCACTCTTACAGTAAAGAAATTTTTCCCAATATCCAATCTAAGTCTCCCCTGGTGCAGCTTGAGGCCATTACCTTTTGTTCTGTCATTAGTTACTTGGGAGAAGAGACCAACACCGGCCTCACTACATCTTCCTTTTAGGTAGTTGTAGAGAGCGATAAGGTCTCCTCTCAGCCGCCTCTTCACTAGGCTGGACAATCCCAGTTCCCTCAGGTGCTCCTCATAAGACCTGTTTTCCAGACCCCTCACCAGCTTCAAAGTCTTTCCTGTACTGTGGCGCCCAAAACTGGACACAGTACTCAGCCATATTCTAGTAGGGAAGAATTTAGCATGAAAATGTCAGAAAATAAAAGACCTGCCACCAAGAGACTGCATGTTTTTTCCTCCACAGGATACTTTATAATGCCATGACAAGTCCAGTTTGCAATATGGCAAGCAATAGCCTTTCACTTGTTTTGGTGGACATTCACCACTCAATGGAAGAACACAACCTCTCCAGACAAGGAGAGCCATCTGCAAAAAGGATTACTATACATCAGCTTTCCAGCAAAGCATCAGCTTGCCAGCTGGAGAGAGTTATTAGTAGATTCATTTTGCATGGCAAAGACTCAGACAGAGGCAGAATGAGGAAGGGCAGAGACTAGGAGAGTGAGGAGCAAACTAGGAAACTAATTTGAAGTCTAGACCTTTGGGATAAAGAACAAAGCTTGACCTCAGCAGCATGCAGCAATGTGCACTCATTCCCCGTTCCAGAGTGCTCCATGAATCACACAACTGCCATCTCACTGCCCATTTAATGCACGCAGTAGAAAGACCACAACTGGAAGACCACTCAGCTGTGCAAGTAATCATTTGGTTCTACTTACTGCAGGCAACCAAAAAATAAGAGTAGAGAAAGATTCACTTGCAATTTGGTAACCAGTGCCCCCCATTCAATTAAAGTGGGCTGAGAAACTGTCACTCCCTAAAATATTCATAGGCAGCTGTAACTAAGCCAGTGAGCCAGAGATTAGCACAGGGAGCAGTAAAGAGAAAGGGCCTCTCATTTAAATGGGTCGTTAAGGAGCCAGGGTTAGAGTGTGAAAGGAAATTACATACTAATTAGCTCTTGCGTCTCACACACACCATAACAACTCCGCTAGCCCCTGGAGAGCTGGGGCAATAGCTCCCTGCATGTACAGGTTCTATGCTCATTAGTAAATTAGCACCTGGTTATCCATCTAAAACGCCTGGTTGTCTTAGGTTTGTGTGTATCATCACCTGAAGCGGGGCTGGCTATATGGACTCCAGGGGCCCTCACACATGGAGGCTGGGCCTGCAAAAAGCGTGCGTACTTAATTGCAGGTCTGTCATGTTAAAATATGGCTTTTCATTTTTGTATTTTCATTAATGGTTTTGCTGGCCCTCCATTTATAGGTCTCTTAACAAGCACAGGTTAAAAGGGCCCCAGAACATACGGAGGTTTTCCCCTGTTCAGCTAGGAAACTTGGTCTGGAGTCTCCAGAGTCCAGCTGGGCTCTTACCTTCAGCAAGGTTATCACCAGTAATACTGACTCTGGAAGAGTCACTGATAGCCTGGGCTATGCTCCAGGTTGTAAATCACTGGAATTGGCTAAATAATTTTGCTGGTGTCGCATAAGATGGAATAGATGCCAGTTGCCCCTCCTGTGTCCGGAACGAACAGAATCAAGACATAGCACACATGCACTGGCTCTTCTCCCCGAAATCAGCAAAAGTAGCTGTGCTCATACACCCAGGGAATAGGCCCACTGAAGAAGCAGTGGCAGCTCTGGAGTAAAATGGCACAATAAATGTTTCCCTCCTCTTACAGGGTGTTAAGTGCTACTAACTTGGGTTAAAATGGGTATGAATAAAGGATCCTCAGCACCCTGAATGAGATGCTCTAGCATCTCACAAGATCAGGCTGCAAGCAGTAAAAAATGTACTCAAAATTAACAATCTTCTCTTGTCATGGGTGAACCTCCTAAGGGGGAGATAGGAGATACATGCGGAAGGCTGGATATGTAGATTACTCTGGGGAATCTAATCAGGTGTCCAGTTGATGAAAAAGCAAATAGATTAGCATGAAAATGGAGGCTGGTGCTTTATTACTTCACACTGAATTTCTCAGTGCTATAATGTTGTTCGTTTTTCTACTTCTGGAGTGTCTGACGGCATTGCCTTCTGGACTGCCTCACAGTCTTCCCTATCTGTCCCCCAGCACATGGGTCTGTAACCTCCAGAGGTTTACCTGCTTGGCATAAATAACAGCTCTTCTACTCAAGCAAATGGAGCTTTGCAGGTTTAAAGCAACTGGAGCTGTGTCTCTTTAAATGTCATCCCTAACACATTTTCTAGGACTTTTTCATATGAGAAAGAATAGCATTACCCAGACATGTCAAAGTGCATTACCCAGTCATCAGGTTTGTTAAATGAACGGCAGTCATTGCTGTGCCAGAGCAAGGACATGTATTTATTGCTCAACCCATGAGGTCAATACAGCTCTTGGTGAGGATATCTTATTTCTTACAGAAAGGAAGAAAATACTAGGAAAAAAAAAAAAACATGTGGAAGTGGGCACTGAGCAACAAGACATGTATCGCTAAAATATAATCCAGTTCATTATTTTTTATGACTTTTATTATGTTTACTGCAGGGTGCAGCCCAATTGAACTCATTAATTTGGCAATTATACAGAAAAAGAAAAAAGGGCCTTAGGCTTTGACTTGCATCCAAACTGCCTCAAATGACAGGCGCTACTTCTTATACCAGCTTTTAAAGAGTAAGTGGGAAGCAGAGAAGGCAATAAATTAACAGAAAAACTTCCACTCACATACATGAATGAAGAGAAGAGGAGAAATTTAATTCTGAAGGTTTTCTGCTTTAATGGCCTTAAAAACATTTCAGATGAGAGTGTCATATATCTCTTTGATACTGATGTCTTCATTTTATGAAACTCTCTTATGCCTCTCTATGGGTAAATGCTCCAAAGAGTTGAAAACACAATTTATTCTATTTTTCTGCCTGGATTTCTTTTACTAACCTTCACTATTCCCTACTTCTCCCACTCCTGAAGTCTTTATCCCTCTCCATTCTGCAACATTAGATATAGAGCGCCCATCTTATGTCACATAAATGCCAGGTTTGGGGAAAGTTGTTAAGGCAATACCATTGTCACCAATTACAAAACTTTGGGCCCAAAATTTCCATCTATGACTCATGAATATTTCACACAAGTATCTTGACAAAAGGCCAAATTGCCTTGGTTGGCAGGGTAAGTCTATGGGCATCGGGTGCACAAACACAAGCTGTGAAAATAAAAAGGAATAATTTGGCATCTGTTGCATATATTAGGAAGTGTTTGGAGCAGCACTCTCTGGCAGGGCCTTCCAAACCTGCCATGCAGTGACGCAGATTTGTGTAGTGAAATAGTTGAAATGTACGCTGACTTTTAGGAATGAGTCTGGTGAATATGAAACAGGTTCTGCATGTCCCAGTGCTGCTGCCTAGAATTAACACTGCAGTTACTATCACTGCCAAAGATTCCTCTGAACTATCTTAGCAGAGGCTTCTGCATGTTATCCTGAGGATGCAAACTCTCCTGTACTAAGAGGAAGACTTTTTAGTGCATAGTTGTGCCAGTATAAGCTACTGATTATCCTCGCCACTCCTCAAGAGTGATCTGCTTGACAAGCACATGAAAGAAGAGAGAAGGAACATGTTACAAACCTAGTAAATTCAGCAAGCCATGAAAAAATGAGGTGGTTACTGGGAGACTGTTTCATCACCTGTTGACCTCACTGCCATTACTGAGGTATAGATTTTATCCAGGGTTCTTACCAGGAGAACAATTTCGCATCTCTGTCCCACTCACAGGACAACAGGTTACAGTCAGATACTGATCCAGAACAGGAATATGTCACCCTATGACATTCAGACAAGGAAATTACATTGGTATGTGGTGGAAAAAAGGTAGGGTACTGTCAAATTACTTACTCTGGGGATGATTCCGGGGTTAAATTAGACATCTCCTCTGGTGTAGGTACTGCCCATGCACGCATAGCCAAAGAGAAGGAGGGAGAAAAGAAATTGATGATTCAGTACGCCTTCCATCTTCTGCTTGCGTACCAATGAAACAATTCTGGCATTACACCCTCTTGCATTTGCCCACTGCATCTGCAGACTAGTTCTGACGTTTGAATGTTGGTCCTATGTCTCTAGATCACTGCACCTATCTAGTGCTGCATTTCAAGGCTCACCCTACCCTTCCTGAAATCGTTCTGTAATCTTGCACTGGCTTCAATGGTTTCTGGTTCAGATGCACCATGCTGATTTGATTGCTTTACAATTGCTTCAAAGCCCAGCTGGATGCAGCTCAGTCACTGCTGCAATTCTCTGACTGTCTCAGAGACAATGTCCCTGACCATCACAATTCAAAATCTAACTCTTCCATGGCTGTAATCTTCCTTTCCCACGGGATCACATCCCAGTACCCTGTAAAACCACTGGGTGTTGGGATAACTGCTGATGACATCTGAAGATAATGCATGTGACTCTGGCTGCCCTTTGCTACCTGGAGCGTGAAGAAGAAAATTTTGCACATCTCAACACTCTAGAGACTCTGAAAGCTGAAATAGGCCAGCAGATATGAAACCACTGATTGTATTAAGGAGATTTTTACACCAATTACCAAAGGAGGTAAAAAAAGCATCAACCAAGATCAAACAAGCTGCGCTTCAGAAGGACAATTTCAGCCTATTGCCACTGGCTATTTTTTTCAGCAGAAGGCTCAGCCTGTGGCTACGGAGAGGGAGCGGAGTACAGCCCTAGGAGAAATGGCAGAGCTCTAGGTTTGCTGACAAACTGAGTGGAGAAGCTGAAGATAAAATTGTCTTGTGTTCTAAGAGCCACAACAGGGGTAGTAAGAGCTGTATGGCTGGAGCGTGAAGAGGGCTCAGGAGATGCTGTTGGAGCAGGTGCCGTGGCATGACAGAGCCTGCTCACATATGCCTTGGGGTAGGGCCGGCTGATGCTACCGCTTGCATTTTCAATACCAAGATTCAGTCCTCAGCACATCAAATTTGCAGAGCCACAGAGAGGTATCAACTTACTGTTGAATGTCTGCCCAAAGCAGAACCTCCCTGTACGTTTGGGTAAGTACTCACCTTGCAATTTCCGGCGATGGAAGCGAGGAGACCCCAGGAAACTATTCTTGATTGAGTTGAGCCGTGTCCTCCATGGCATTCCTCCAATGCTGGGGCTGGATGGTGGTGTTGGGTTGGGTGTGCCTGCTGGGCTCTCCTTTGGCGTATGGACAGGTGTCCCCTTGGGGGTAGGGAGGGGACTTCCCCTTGGAGAGGGGTGAGGGGTGACCTGTATGATGGGGATAGATTTGGTGCTTGGGTCAGTACTAGAAGGGAGCAATCTAACAGGAGACATAGGGTTGGTCTGCACTTTAGGAACAGCCAGCTGTGGGTTAAAGCCGGCAGCAGGCGAGCGGCCCTGAGCATTCTGCACAGGGGTGTTCTGGGAAGAGGGGGCGCTGGTATTGCTGGTAGGGAGTGGGTTGGATTTAGTAGACTGGAGTGGTTTTTCGGCCAATTTGCTCTTGGATGGCAAAGTCTGCGTCTTTGGGTTGGGCTGAAGTGCTGGCTTTGGTTGGAGGACATGTCCAGGCCTGGAGGCGTTCCTACAAGCATCAGGGTCCAAGGAGACTTGGGGTCGGGGAGAGAAAGGGAGGTCGGAGGTCTGAGGGGGGATGAAGAACTTTCTGATAGGCTACGAGACAGACGCAGAGTGTCCATGCACATCAAAAACAGTGAAATACGCATAGAGCGGGCGAGCAGAAAGGAAAGCCAGAATAAAATCCATCCAGTCACAAAGATGCGCCATGTCACAAGGAGACACAAGAGATGGAGGTGAAGGGGTAGTGGGGGGGAGGGATTTTGCAAAGAAACGAAAACGAACAAACAAACAAAAAACAAAAAAAAGACATGCAGTTAGCTGGGAACACAGCATAATCAACAACAGCAGCAGCGGCAGCAGCAAGAACAACAGTGTCATAACAGGCTTCATCATATTAACCAACCACGTGTCAGCAAAGGAAAACAACAGAAAGAAAAGTAAACCAAAGGAGAAGTAAAAAAAAAAAAAAAAAAAAGAAAGTAACCAAGAAAAAAGAAGAGAGAAATGCCATCTCTCTGGGATTGTTCTGATTGCCCTGCAGTGAGAGAAGCACGATGCTGTAGGGAGGTGAGGAAGGGGAAGAAGAACCACTCAAGCCACAGACAAATTGAGATGTGCCAAGAATGGGACCACCTCTTTCAGATCCAAATGCCCATATGCAAACCCAGCAGAGAGATGAAACTCAGAACAGGTGTGTGATACACACGGAGTGGTAGGCGATACACACAGGTTACTGCACACACCAGTCAGAACCTCTTTCCTTCCTCTTTACCCCTGACTCTGGCTCATGCACACCCCGGTTGCAGCCACCCTTTGCAGAAAGAGGGGGAAAAGGAAGAGTGATGCCAGGTGGGCATCCATCCTCCTCCCCTGGCCGGGAAGGTTAAACCACTCAGCATTCACTTGGAGGCCTCAGACCACACACCACCACCAGAAAAATATGAAGTCAGGTTGGTGTTCGACTTGTAAACAGCTAGAGCAAAAGCTACAGAGAGGCCTGGCAAATTTGTTTATCTGGGAAGAGATGATACTTCCCATCAGACTTTATGCTTCTCCTGCGACACCCCTCATTGTGTCGAAGGACAGTTTGATAATCGGAATTTCTGTCATAAAGTCACAGCAATATTTGCCATTGAGTCCCAATTCTATGGAGGGGGTGGGGTGAGCCATTGCTTTGTAAGACACAGCTTAAAAAGAAAAAGACAACCAAAGTTCATAATCCATCACTCGATTATCAACATGGGATTATGAATTTTTTTTCCCAAACAAGAACATTTACATGTGTTAGAGGCATTTTGGGAAACTGTTCATATGTTGACAGCAAACAGCAATACACAGATTTGGGAGGATAGAAGCCTTTTAAAGGGATAGTAGCAAGCTAAAAATCACATTTAAACCAAAACGAATGTCCTTACAAAACATTGCTGTTAACACCTTAGATCACGTACTGGCAGAATTGTAAAAATAGAAATCACTACTCAAGAACTTTAACTTTGGTCTGTACTCAGATTCTGATTTCTATCAATTATTACCTATTAGAAATTATTTATCACCATTACTGTCGTTATTATCCATTCTTAACACCCAAAAGCTGTAATCAAGCACTGTCCAGACATACCATGTACATGTAACCATGCCTCAAATCTCAGTCCCAGGTAAACACACTCATTAGTGAGTTTACTTTCTGGGTTTGACGGATTAGCACAATGTTGCCATATTTTAAAAATACATAAATGTATTTAAGACTTAATTCCTAAAACTGTTTGCATCAAAGTTTCATAAGTACTTTAAAGAACTTAAGGTTAGGCCACCAAAATGAAATCACTACATCAAAACATTTGTATTATTATTAGGATGGTAAAGTTAAACAAGTCTGCCATGTTGGTAAATTCTGATCACCAGTGAGAAACTAAGGGGCCAAGATGAGGAAAGTGGTTAATTTATGGAAGCCACTATCAGCATCTGACTATTAACCATTTGCAAATGATGCCGACGGATAAAAGTCAAAGATGGTTGATTGCAAATATTTCCTTGCAATTCTTGTGTATCTCACGTGTATGATGGTGTGAGGAACAATTTGAAAGTAAGTCAAATTCAGCTTCCACTTATGCCATTAAGAATCTGAAGGGGCATCCTTAATTACAGCATTCTTAATAATGAAATAAAGAACAAGTTTAGGTCCCTATTTCAGCTGGTGCAATAGGGAACACCATTAGCAAGATCTTGTGAGATTTAAGAACTCTTAGTTGCTGTCAAATACAGCTCCTCATAGAACTGAACCTAAGCAGCACATACAGTGAAATATGTATTTGCTTTTTAAAGTAAGTTCTCTTTTAATAATCTAAGGTGCTATTAGAGGCATAGGTAAGGACGTTTAAAAAAATATGAGTTTTATTCCAACATTTCCTCTTAAGCCTCAAATCTGACCTGCCTTAATATTGTTATGATCTGCTGAAAATGCCATCTGGTTGCTATATCCCTTTGAAGACTATTTAATCAACTGCCTACCAAGTAAAAATGGTAAGACACAGCAACTATGGAACAGATCTTGTCATCCTTATTCTTTGATGTAGCCCTGCTAAGAAGTCAGAAGTTGATCCCAAGAGATCAATTAATGAGATCAAGATTTAGGTTTGCTGCACTGGATGCTTATTTTGTGCACAAATCTGTTTCCATGCTCTTTTTCAGTACATTTTGCAGTGGCATAAGAGTTTTCAGACCTCTGCTTTGTTCCGCTGACATCCAGGAGTCCCAGTGCAGAAACAACGAAATGGCTCTTCACTGGCTCCAGGCCCATTAAAGATGCAGAGGAGACCACAGACACATTTATGCCAGTTGCAAAACAGTACAACAATTGACAGGAACTCAGAATATGTTTCAGAAAATAGTTTAACCGAAAAAGGAGTTGGAAGCTTTACTAGCCTATAAATTTACACCCAACAGTGTGTCTTTATGCATTAGAATTACACACAATGTTCCTGGGGAATTAAGTACTTGGAATACTGATGTTATCTTCATACACCTACACAGTAGATCTGTAGGTGTACCCATATCCTAACACATGGAATACATCCATTTCTAATAGGGGATGGCTCCTTCTCATGAAGTTGAGAAAAAATATGCAGAAATCCTCCAAACACTCTGGGCCAGACAATTGGGTAAGATGGTTTGCCATAGCCCTACAGACTTCTTGATGAGGTCTAGACTTTTGTAAGGACTGCAGTCTTGAAGTGACTAAGCTGACCTTGTCAGACACCAGAAATAATGAGTCTTATCCCTAAAGAAGTTACCAAGGAGAGGGAGGCCTCTGTCATTGCACTAAGAAACTAATAACTTTGCAACAGAGGTACTATCAAGCGTGCTTTGTACTAGCTGAGTATCAGTATTAGCTGAGTATAGGTATTTAGTTGACTGTATATTGAATAAGGGCATGTGAACGTACCTTATTTATAGGGGTTTGAGCGTTCTTCTCTCATCTTAATTAGTCAGCTTCATACTTTCCTTTGAAATGTGCTAGCCCTCAAATTTGTATGATTTATTTTCTCTGACTTTCTAATACAAGCTCTTCTGAGGCAAACAGAATCAAGCTGGTTGTAACTGGCATGGTTTGGTGCTCTACTGTGACCTGATTGAAGGTAGCTGTGAAATGGTTCCTGATACTTGGTCTGAAACCACGTCGTATGCAGACCTCAGTTGGATATGGCAGTGTTTAGTCATAGCAACATTTTTCTATGTGCTTATGAGACTGAAAAAGGGCAGGGGCACAGTGAGATCCCTGCTAACAGTGCAGGGAACATGTATGAGAAATTCTCTGCTTGCATTTGTAAATAACATTTCCCTCACCACCCATGAAAATTTACAAGCTGCCAAGGAAAACCAAAACATCCCAGCTAAGAGCCACAGCTCTGCAGCAAAAGATGTTGAAAAGCACCAAGCATGTGTGAGGGAACTGGACCAACAGATCTTGAAGCAGCACCACTTACCCTTGGACTGCTGAGAGGACTGGTGGAGAGCCCAGACGACGCTCCGCTGATTGACCGAGACCTGAATGGACACAATAAGGAAAACAGCCCTCAGAAAAGCTGGACAAGCGATAACCCTGAACACCAGCCACCACAGGCACAGGCATGAAGTGAGGAGGAGGAGGGAGGCTGTCACTGGAAAAGCACATGACTCTTTCCTTTCACTACTGCCACATTTTCAGTTGTCCCACCCTCAAAACAAAGAAATGCTTTTACTCAGGGAGGATACTATAATCCCTTCTCATTAAAAGACTTGCTACATTCTTTTTGAACATCAAGCTCGTGGAAGCTACTATGTCTGACATGTGCAAGCTGAACTGCTGAATTCAAAAAGGACTGTCAAGGCATTCGTGTTGGTGCTGAGAATTCTCTTCTGCGCAGTGCTGGTAGACACAGAATGAGATGTTCTCCGTCATGAGCAACATGGAAAAGCACCGTGTGTACAAGGTACAAACGTAGGGGATTCTTCCAGATATCAAGAAGAAAACCCAAGGCTCCATGACCCAGGCACACCATTGTTTCCTATGTGATGACTTCCCACTGAAATCAAAGCTCACGTTGGCTTAACCCTTTCCGGCTTCTCACTGACAGATTTCATGTCTCTGCTCTCCAGCAAGATTTCCTGCTGTTGCATTAACAAGCCAGGTCTCCTCTACGGGTAACGAGTTCTGCTGTTGTTGATGACTTCACTAGTATCAAGATAACAGCCCAAGCGCCATCAAAAAGAGGCCAGTCAAGGGAGAGCCAACTGTCCTTCTATTCACTGACAAGGTCACCTATACTGTAGTGCTCTTACGCTCTCCAGCAAAGGCCAGCTATGAAAAATGTCAGCTGTAGACAATAAAATGTACAAATGTGCTATTCTAAATGTGCTGCAAGGGCAGAGAGGCCCAAACATTTCAGCCGCAGAAGTTTCCAGGAGGAGGGCTGCTCAG